ACGAAGGGGATTTCATTTTTTTGCTGGGAGGCCGGGGGGGGGGGGGGGCAGGAGGAGAGTAAATCCACTCCTGTAGTGTAGTGGGAGGAAAATCCCATGCACACACCCCAATAAGTAGCATATTAGTGCAGGCAAGCAACACAAAATTAACTCTTTACAATTTTCCAAATTCCTTGGGGGAGGGTGGGGGGGGGGGACGGGGTACCTCCTATGCGCCTTCCTGCACACAAAGTTACGCAAATGATCTAATACCAAGTTATTATTAATGAGGGCAAGTACGTGCTCTTAGTTGGGTCTGATGGGCCACACATTGACTCGGTCGATATCAATTAACAGGGAAAAAAATGGTCGGGATAGGAATCAAAATTTACATTTAATTAGAGAGTGCTATCCTCATTTCTGTACCGCTCTATCTGCACCGGCGCATGTCCGTCAGAAAAACATACCGCAGGTTGAACTGTTTCCTACCATAACCATAGTACCATGGAGGTATATTCCATCTTCCTATCAAGACAAGTGTCACGACTCTGATTGCATTGCATTCTGCTCCCTGATTTATGGTCGGTGCCACTTTCACGTCCATTCCGTGCCGCGGCATACGACAGGTCAATTATCACCTGAAAATTGGTTAACAAATTGACAAGTAAATTCTCATCCGGCCGTCGTTTCATCACACAGTCCCGGTGTGAGAAGGGTGCCGACTGCCGCCTCCTTGTCAGCATTTTCCATTTGATTCTCATCCAATTTGTTTATTGACGGAACTGAAGTCCAGGTCATGTTTACTTGGTAAATTATTACACAATTTTATTGAATTTGAATACTGCGCGTCACGTTTTTTTTATCGCACATTATGCTTTTAGTTTAGCATGTGAGAACGAGAAATAGTTTAGCATTGCTTGGGCAAAGATGGCAGAAAGATGAAACACTCCCAACATGTCAACCTAGCAAATTAATGCCCCCCTCCTTCCCGAAGCCACCTAATAACCTAGGTAACCTGCCCTAGGATTCATGTCTGTCACAGTGACACTTTTATACGACGCACGATTTGTTAAAATGAAATTAATGTCTACCAAATTAGGTCACCGATGATTATGAGGGGCCGAATACTGGGTGATAGTTTTGATAGATGGTTGTTAATCCGACGGGAAAAAAACTAAAGTCTGCATTTGTCTTCCCAAATTGAAGATTACTTTCTGAAAAGGTCCGTATTAGCTTCTTGTACTGGTCTTCAAATTTGTAAATGGAAGTCGCAAAGCATTTGATGCTCCGTCTTTAGTGACGAAGTCTTCGGTTACCTTGGCAACTGTTTTGCTTTCTCCAGAGATAATAGAAAGAATGGGAAGAGACAGCTCGTAGCCTCGATAGGTCAAATGTCATAAGACCATGCAAAAATCAGGCTGCATTTTGCGTAACCCACTTAATTCGCTGTTCGTGCGAACTGATCTGATTATATCAGACGCTTCACATCTTAGGTTTTCAATTTACATTTGTAGTTTAGCCATGCAGTCAGTTATTTGCACCTGCGCTTTTATTCGTTTAACCTTTATATGTCAGTATTTTATAACATCTTGATAAGAAGACTGGCTCCTCTTCTGATAACGTCTTCTTTTGAGATATTCAAGAGAACTGTCTCTTTATCGAAAACTATCAGGAAGATCAGGTAGGAAGCCTGTTTCTTAATGTAAATCAAAGGATTTGTAGTGTTCTCTATAAGTTAAGATTAAATATATAAAAATACTTGATTTGTTTTATCTTCAAATCAAACGGCGAAGGAGTACTAGTAAAATGTTTAATTCATGTTCACATTTTTATTTAACTTCTCTAACCCAAGCATAGTCGGGAAGTTGTTTTTGATAAGATTATAGCATAACGTGTTGTACCATTGTGCAGCATTTTAATAAACTTGTCATTCAGGCGGAAGAATATGTATAAGAATATCCCTTTATGTCGTGACGACCTCGATATTTTTGCCGGTTCGTTATCTGTTAGTATTTGTGCGTCAAATCACTCATATATGAATAGTTGAAACATTTTGGCGGTATTTGTAAACGACTTATAGTTTGAAATATTTGTTTTTAATTTTCTTTTAGGTTCGTTTCTTGTTATTTTCATCTAATACTTCATATTTTGAAACTGAATGATCTCTACCTTTACCACTGGGTTGGTCAAATATGCTCACAACATACTCCCACAAATATATCTCCATACAGTCCTGAATCCTCCAATTTGAATACGATTTTGAACACCCCCTATAGGGAGTTTGTTATTAAGCATAATACTCTCATTTACCTCTGTTCATTCATACACGTAGTTCTTTTGAAGGTGATCTATTTGCGAGACAAAATAGAACTTCCCTTTTTAGAAGCAGACCATTTCAACCTGGTGTCATGTGGTGTCATATACTGGAATGAACTCAACATCTTGGGCGTAGCGAGGAGGGGGATAAGAGGGCGTTCCCCTCCCCTCCCCGGACGAGAAAAAAAAAAGGAGAAGAAAAGAAAAAGAAGCGTGAAAACATGATTTCGCACCTCCCCCCCTTTTTTTTACTCCTTTTTTTCATATTGTTGTTAATTTAATGAGGTGGGTGGGTGAAGGGGGGGGGGGAGGAATGTCCCTGCCCATCCTCGAAAAAAGATAAGTAGGGAAAATGCTGGAAAATAAGCCTAAAGGGATTTTCTTTGGGGAAATTCTTTTTTGTGGCCCCCTCCAGAAGAAATCCTCGCAACGCCCGTGCTCAACATTATATCATGGTTTAAAAGCTAGTGGTATTGTAGTTTCATTTGCCAAAATAAAATTGAGGAAAAAAAATCGATCATCAAAACTAATGTTTAAGAATTTAATTTACTTACTGTTTCAAATTTGTTCATTTTTTATACTAATTACATGTCACATTGCACCAATAAGTCTCACTCTTAAATCTCTTGTCCCATCTTTGTCCGTGTGGTGTTGTTCAAGTCTTGTCCCGTCCCAGGAAAGGTATAAGAGCATTGCTTCACCTTTTTTCTTTATGCAACATTATTTACTGCTTACATTTAATTCTTGTGCTTTTGTAAATTTAACTACCTGTACATACCTTCTTCGAATAACATTTTGTAAATATTTTTTTCTTTATCAACTGTCATTGAGGATGTCAAAGTGAAACAAAGGAGGATCCAGAATATAATTTTTATTGGTGGGGGGCAAAAAGAAATATATTGTTCCCCCAAAAAGTTGATTAAAAAATTTACGGCGTGGGGTTCGGAGCCCTTAAACGGGGCCCGGATTTTTTTTTTTTTGGATTCTAGATGCTTTTTCGTGCGAGCTGAGGTGATTTCTGACCACTTTAACCAATTTCTTATAGCAAAATATGGTGGTATAGGTACCGTTGCCCCCCCCCCCGATCCGCCGTTGATGAGAAAAAAAATGTCAAATTGACAGAATCTATTTTTGTTATACATGTATAAAGGCGTGTGTTTTTACTTCCCCAGAATATCGTCGCAGATTTCCGAAGCCCAAATTTTCGCGTATAGGAATTGCCAAACGCACGACAGGCGTCACAGACTCTCAGGTTTGCGTCCTGGCAATTAAAATTGAACCATCATAATGCATAGAGAGATCCCGGACGAAAATTACCTTCATTTAAATTCATTACTTTCACCGGGAATCAATGGAAATGAAATTCACGATATTATGGAGAAATTTCTAAAACTGGGAATCAGCAATTCAAGAGTCAATGCTTTATGCAACTGACAATTTCTCGACCCTTGAAGTTTTATTTTTTTAGGGGGGGGGGGGTGGGGAGTCTAATCCATTTTTTATTCCATTTTCCAGGTCTCTCATTGAATGTAATTGCTGAATTGGGCCTGGAATGTCTATCAGATGAATCTTCAGATCCCAAGATGTTATCCTTTGACGACAAAGCAGTCGTCCGTGGGGAGAGCTCGCATTAGGAGATGTATATTTTTCTCTCTGGGGATGTAATTATTTCTCATTCGCCATATTCCATCCCCAACCCCGGTGAATTCCTAGTAGGCAAAGACGACGGTAATTACTCCTGCGTGGGTCGGAGTACTACAAAGGACCTCGTTCAAGTCAATTCCAATTTTCCGAGGGAAAACAATTTTTTTTCTCGAAAAATTAAGGCGGGTTATGTCACTTTCATCAAACAAAAACGTAAAATGTTCCGAAAAACTGAGACAACAAACACAAGATTACAAAACAAACGAACACACGTGTTGTAGAATTTATTCAAACTTCCATCAAATGCCACAATATTCTTACACTAAAAACTATTTTGTTATTTTCTCATTTTCATACAAAATATGAATGGTATAAACCACAGCAATTTTGTCCCAAAAATCAAACACAGACAAATTTTTTCAATTATTTAAAAAGTACCGGCGGAAATATTAGACTTTATCAAACCATGTAAACAAGTGTGAGAGTAACCGCCATAATATTACACTTTAACTGTACATAACCCCCTAAAAATTGTGATTAAATATATCTCAATATGATTGCTTATTAAGGCACATGTGGTTCAGTACCATTTGTTGTAGTACTATAAAGCCTGAACAAAATAGCATAATAATCAATGTTTTTGTTCAAATTCTCCAGTAATTAGGCCTATATATATATTTTAATATACAATACTTTTTCTGCACATAATTTGAGACGGAGGGATACCACAGTGTCACTTTACACTATACACACCCAGACTACTTTTATATCTACACATCGCCCTAAATATCTAAAAAAAGAATTCCCGAGATTCCCGGCACCCAATGATCAACACAAAACAGGTGGGTTCTCTCTCGCGCGTATCTTGCTTCAAATGATATTTCTAGTTGTTTGATCCATGTTGTGCGAATTTCAAGAAAATCAGCCTTTTGTATAGCCCCACTGCCTCTATCCGTACACTATCGCAAGCGTACTAGTTACAAAGCTTGTGATAGTGTAAGTCCAGAGGCAGTCAGGCTAACTTTTGTATACCGCCAAAAAACCCCATTTTTTTTTTTTTTATATATTGTTCATTATAAATGCAAAGAGTAACCAAGGACACGGAAAGAATACTGCATCCTGATGCCACTAATTTTTCATCATATATCATCTCAATGGAGGTGAGTCACTGCAAAAATGTTGAAAATATATGAATCTGGGACTGAGAAACATTTCCCATTTTGTTATAAAATAGTTTGAAAATCTACCTGACTCTCCAAAGACTTTGTACACAACCCACAAAGTGGCGTCGGGATACTCTTTCCAAGGATACTCTTTCCAAGTCACCATTGTTATTGCTCATAGCCTTTAATACTGTATTACTCCAAAGTTAAATTAATGCCCTCTTTTACAATTGGAAAAAAGTCATTTAAAAGACTTGGGGCAAGCTGTCTTGAATAAACCCAAGATGAGTGATTGGGAGAGGTTTGCAGCTGTACTGTCTGAATCGACCATTTCTAAAAGAGAAAAAAAAAACTCTCAAAAGAATCGAAAGATGTACCACAGACATTATACAACCCTCGTCTCATATCACTTTTATAATCACTTTAACAGAAACTGGTGTATTGGATTATTAACATACATGTACATCATAAATTATCTTCGTGGTTTTTTTCCCTTTTTATGACCAAGAAAGAGGACAAAGACTGCAAACCAGTCCCTAATAACATTCATTGTACGTTTTAAATATGGCACAAACATTACCGACCCTATTAGTAGGTTACAAATAAATGTTGCCCCGTTCAAACAAAACACAAATTGAAACTGCACTTCGCCTAGACACGTACCGTTATCTGCCTGTAAAGGGTAATTGGTCATGATTTTTCTTTTGAAAATGAGAGTCACATTGTTTTCTTGGAGAGCCTTTTCTGGGCCCCAGAGGTCACAAAGGAATGTTCTGCTGGAATCACTTGAACAAATCAGCATTGAGAAGTCATGCATGACCAGGAAATACTCAATTTTCAAATGAGTTAATAGTACAGTACTATATTTACAAAAATCACATCTTAAAAATTGTGAATAAAAGCTCAATTTTAAACACTACATTTTTATTTCATTTATGAAAATACTCACTGATAAAAATATCAACTCTACAAAATTTAGGGCCGTGATTATAAAAATCACATACATGAAGTACCTACTCTTTAAAACTAAAGTTTTGTTATATACTCTGAAAGGCCTCTAAAATCATTGTTTACAAAGGCTGTACAGATTTTCTCCAAACATTATTTCCCAAGCTCAAATATCTATATATCCATCTTGAAAATACAAATGGATTATGGAAAAAATAGTAAATAATACTACCCCCCCCCCAAGAGCATGTGATGCAATTATGAAGTGCGCATGATTTGGAATGGTCAATAACCTAAACCTACATTTGCACAAGGTTGGCATCTGCACTAGTTTCTAGAAGGTCGTGGGTTCAAGTCCCACCCAAGTAGGCATGTGAAACACTAAACAAGCTTTCAGAAAGTATGGAACATAACACTGTGAAATAACAATATGTTGGTTTGGTTCAACACCCAGTACTAACGTTTACATTATATACCCTGATAAAAAAAATTAAGTTAAAATTCCATTTGACCCCCTCTCAGGGAAAATCACATTAAGTAGAACATACATTTTTGATTCCCCATCAAATTTATTGCTTTTACACCAGGACGGAAAATTCATGTCTGTTTTTAACATACAAAACTGATAAATTCTGAATCTGAATCTGGTTTGGTCATTCATACTTCAAAGTATGCTAAGTTCCACCATCTGTGAAGATACTATAGTTTGGAGGCTGGCTCAGCTATAACAAATGTTAATGTTTGCTTGAAAGCTGATCAAATGTTTGCAACAAATGTTTGCAATCGAGCGTGTTTAATAACCAGGAAACAGGCATGCACTAACAGTTACATGGCTTGCTTATGTACAAATCGATGATGCGGTCTGCGACCTATATTAGTTGTATTGATCAGATCGGTGTGACTACATAAAGACAGGCTTGAATGGTTATTGTTGATTAATGGTCACACGTCTCTGGAAATCGCCAGGAAGTCTGGCTCTTATGATGGAGAGACTTATTAAAATTTGGCAATTTTTTCTATCCATCAGCCCTGATACCCAAATCTGCCAAAAACCAAACACCTGGCTTTGCATATGCCTGGGGCTGACTGAGGATTTCACAGTGAGAATGGTTGGAGCTTGAGACAGTTACAAATGTAGGCCTACACACTGAAAGATTGGTCTGAGGTTATATTAGGGAACATTGTGTTTGACATATTTTGACAGAGTATTTGTGTGCCAAGTTGCCCGCTTGAATTGGGCCTAGACCCTGCTAGGAATCAAGTACTCCGACGGAGTACACTATCGAATTCTGCTGAATAATACATCAGGAAAACAGGATTTTGCAGTCTGAAGACCAAGATTACTGTACTCATCTAAAATGCCCCCACCCTAAGCCCGGTATTACGCGTTGGATAAGGGTGGGGATAAATAAGGGGAAGGGGGTAAACTAGGCCTCTGACTACAGTAAGGTAGACCATCAACACAGTCAAGATGGGGGGGGGGGCAATACCCTGGAGGCTGTGTAGGTGGGGATATCACATAACAGTTTAACAAGTCAGATTCATGAAACCTGCTTAACAATGTATACATTCTTAGTAGTAAATCCCCTAAAGATCAGTCTGTTTTGCCTGATAACCAGTATCTAGCAAAGCCAGGATCGCTGTCATCCAATGCCAAGGCATTGAAATTGCAGTGGCTCTGTAGTTTACAGAAAATAAGAAACTAAGTTCTGTTTTTAATTTCAATCCCTTTGTTCAACAAGAGTAATGCTGAGATTGGAAAAATATAACAGTTACTATGGAATTCACTAAAGATAATCTAGCAAAAACAAGGATTTATTGTTCAATTAGTTTTCTTGAAATACAATTTACATGTATACATGTAGCTTTAATAGCAATTTACATGTATAAGGAATGTTGAAATTGGTGTGATTAGAAAAAAAATAGAAAAAAGCTACTAAATGGTTTTTAAAAACATGACCCTGTGAATTTGACCCTGTAAATGTTTTGATAACCTTATTGGTCCTGTGACCTGACTATGAAGACGGAATGTCTTAATTTGTTCAGTTTTACTTAAACTCTTTCGCTGCACCACTTAATGTCATGACTGAGACGACTGCGATTAATTATCAGCATTATCGCATCAAGCCCTTAAAAGTACCAAACACTCTCTTGAAAACAACAAGTTAATCTTGGCTATTCTAAGACTTATTAGACTTTGTGAGCATATTCACACCATGTGAAGTATTTTGAAAGCATTTCTTTGGGAGACTCATGATTGAACCAAATTATCTTTCAATAAGGCTTCATTTTCCCTCAACAAAAATGTTCAACAAAACCTTCCCTGACGATCATATACACGGTACCCTCTGGAGACGTGTGTACAATAGGGAACAAAAGATTGTATACGTCTCCACAGGGCAATTTTTATAGATGAATACGTCTCCACAAGGTTTTCACGTATATGGTTTTTACTAAAAATTTGGAATTTCCAAGCTATGTTGATCTGTCGCAAATGGAAGAGTTTTAGAAAAGGGATATTAAGTCCAAGTTTCAGCCAAGGAAATTAATTCTGGTTAAAATAAGAGCATTAAACTACACTTTCAAACTCGAAAACTTTAGTACACAAGAACAAAGGAATGTCTCCACAAGGATACAAATTCCAGTATGCGTGTTTTTAACGTGTTTAAAATCTTGTACATTTATATACAAGAACATGGCAGCATTTGAGAATGTGGCAGTACAACATTTGATAATATTCTGACCTATGTGAAACTACTTCGGCATAAGAACCTATGGAGGACCTGTGAGTTTGATCCTTTTCCTATAACACTGAAAATCTGACATTGTGTTGTTTTTAAAGGAATGTACAACATTAGCTTTTGCTGCAATTTTCAGAAATAAATGGATTTGGAGGATTAGTATGTTATAGCAAATATTGTTAAGCTGACTTTTTGCACGTTTTGGGCTTGTGGATCCTGGAAAAACCAAGAAAACCAATCATGTTCTTGTAGTCAAGTTCCCTGACCCGACTTAAGATGGAACGGAGCAATATGTTATTTTTTTGTTGTTGAAAATGTCAGCACACTGGGAGCCTTGATTGCACAGGATGTTTTACACTGTCATTCCCTAACAATCCAGTAAGGTATTTCGTGATAATGTGATCATTTCGTTTTTTGATGTTTGCAAATGTTGTATCTTCCCTTTAATTCTTTGCATTTAAAAGGGCCTGACTGAACTCTAACTCCACCATTTACACTTTGTCTCCACTCATCCCTTGCAGCTCCTTCATCTCGTCGCTATTTCCATCCTCCGCCCATCCAGTCTGCTTCTCTCTGCTCTTCCCGTCTTCCTTCCCGCCCTCCGCGCCCTCTGACTCCGCCCCTTCCCCATTGCTCTTCTGGACTTGTTCGTCATGTCTATGCTGGATTTTGTCAGCTGTGTCAGAGAGAGCCTCAGAGATGTAAGCAATAATCAAGGCCAGGACAGCAAGGCCGATGATGATCCAGCAGTAGGTGCACCATTTGTACAGGACGTGGTAATCAATATCTGGGTTGGTTCCTTGAAAGACAGGAAAACAGAACAGAACATGATAATCAATTGGGTGGGAGAATGTCCATATGGCCTTCAGGGGTAGACAAGACTGAAACAGAAGAGACAGGGGGGGGGGCCAAGGTGATGAAATAATAGTAAGACAGATGAAAGGTATGAGGAGCATGGGTAGATTTGATACAAATACAGGGTGAGTAAAAAAACAAAGGAAACCCAAATGTCAGGACCGTTTTAAATGAACTTCTGAATGCAGCACTTTCACAATCTAGGATATGAAAGCCCAATCAATAAGCTTTCTTTTAGTACAAGAATATTTAAAATCACTCATGTATTTTTCAAGTTACGGATTTTAAACACAACCACCGTTTTTAAGTTCTGTCCACCGATAAAAAAGGTAACTGGTCTTTCAGCAAAACGAAAACAATTCACATAGGGATGCATATGAATTGTTTTCGTTTTCCTAAAAAACACACACCTTTGGTGATCCGTAGACAGAAGTTGAAAACGCTGTTTGTGTTCAAAATTCCGTAACTTGAAGAGTAATTTGAATTATGTACAAGGACAGATGACAGAACCTATGGACGGTGAGAGAAAAATTTATTTTCCTGTTCGTGAATATTTCTTTTTCATTGATAATCATTCATGATTCTATTTTTCTGTCAGACATTTTCACGAAACAAAACCATTACAAGTAACAACTTTAAAGTTTGCAAGGAATCCTCGTTTCTTCAGCTTTCAATCTTACATTCACAAATCATCACATCAGGCCAAAAACTGAAATCCATTTCAAAAGAAATGACAGCATCAATATTCCAGTAAATGTTTGTAAAAATTTGATACAAGAGTATTCACAACCAACAATTTCAAAAAATCAAATTAAATTAGCTTTTGCCGTTCACCGACGTATATACACTGTATACTCAGTGTGTAACCTCCCGAGTGAAAGTCTGAAAAAAGCACTGGGGTGGGACTCGAACCCATGACCTCCTGCTTTCTAGTGCAGACGTCTAACCACTCGACCACCAAGCTAACGGGATCGGTTGGCTGGTTCGAATCTAATGTACATAGCAGCGGGTACCGCATTAACTATTTGTAAGATGGAATTTTGCGTCGGGGTGATGTACATGTGTGTAAATCAACTTAGGTTTTGCCGTTCACCAACGTATATACACTGTATACTCAGTGTGTTACCTCCCGAGTGAAAGTTGGAAAAAATCACTCGGGTGGGACTCGAACCCACAATCTCCTGCTTTCTGTGATGACCATCTTATTCATAATTTCAAAAGACAAGCACATTATGGTCGTAATCTCACCTTGTTGATTTTCCCCCCAAAAATCATAGTTTTATGGGGGAAAGGAGATTTATAAACAGCACTAAAATAGTCTTATTCAAATCTTTTGTTAATTTTATTTTTTATGAGACTATATTTACCTATCACAAAGTCACCAAATCCGATGGTTGACAAGGTGATAAAGGCGTAGTAGAAGGATTCCGAGAATGTCCATTTCTCAATGGATGAAAAGACAGCAGCGGGAATAATCATGAAGAACAATAAGACGATCGCCAGGAGTGTCAGAGCATAAACAGCCGACTTGATCTGGAGAAGAAAAATGGACACAGAAGATTTGGATATCATTTGAATGTGTGATCACTGCCAACCCTCAAATGTCATTGTTGATGGTCCAAGAGGCCTATTGTTTTCTTTGAACGTTTAGTACCTATCTCACTGATTGACTGACTAACTGCCTGACTTTCACAGGTGACATTTACTGGTTGTAGACTGGTGCAGAGAGGAACACAGTATTCGTGTGATGCATGCAGGATTTAGCCAAGTAAACAAACCTGTAAAACACCTATTTTTATAGGCAAAACTTTTAAATCAAGGTTAAATTTACATTAACAGTAAATAAAAGCGCAAGTATAATGGACGTAGCCTACAGCGTGCATTTCATGTACAGCCTAAATTATAAATGTAGGTCACAATCAAAAAAATTGTTTACCTGGCCTAATATGTACAATCATATTCATACAAGATTGCATAACAGTGACACCTAGGGTGCATTCGAGCATGCTACTCGTGTTAACACGAGTATACTCCAATTATAAATGTAGGTCACAATTAAAAAAATTGTTTGCCTGGCCTAATATGTACAATCATATTCATACAAGATTGCATTACAAACAGTGACACCTAGGGTGCGTTCGAGCATGCTACTCGTGTTAACACGAGTATACTCCTGAGCGCCCGAACGGCAGAAGTACGACCCGCGGGTTAGCAAGAGTATGCTCTCCATCATACCTGGAGTATGCTCCTGCACCGAGAGTAATGCGCACGCAACATTTTCCTGCACTCAGGAGTAGCAAGAGTAACACGCTCGAACGCACCCCTCTGTCAACTGACGTTCCACTCAACACCCTTCCACCCTCAGCCCCCAACAGCTTTTTGATGATTAGTTTACAAAGGCCGGTGTAGTCTCAGGATCTGCATCAACTGAATGGAATTTTCTGAGCCCTTGACCAGCTTTACTAGGCTTGTTTGTCTTGTTTTATCAAATCATATTATGAATGCAGATGCAGAGCACCCTTAAGACTGCTTGGACTTTACCATCCCATGATTCTGCTGTGCTTAACTCCCTTCTGTACATTGAAAGGGACTTAAATCAGTCTTTCATTGTCACTTACATGTACACTTAATTTGATCAACCTGCATCCTGCAACTGCTTCAAATTGTTCTCTTTTGTGTTCATAATGCAAATGGATGCCAGATTTATACTGTGCTGTATAAAAAAAATGTATACTGTATGACCGTTTTTGGTTTCTTGGTCCTTTATTGATTCTACATGTATTTATTTCCTTCTGAGCTGTTTTGTGCTCTAGTGCATTTTTGTATTATTTATTTTTTGTCAATAAAATTGTGTTTTATTTTGTCTGTGTAACTTATTTTACAGAATACATGTACATGTATATAATTATTACAGACAAGCATGCTACTACATGTACACAAGAAAAAAACCTTGAAAGAAATATTTCCAATTTTGCCTAAAAGTATCTTTGCTAAATGAGTTCCCCTGCAAAACTCATCACTGAAAAAAAAGACCGTTTCAGATTACAATTTACATGTATGAAATGTTTTCAACCTTTCTAAAATTGAAACACGTATGATTCATCTTTTGTAACTGATCTGGTTTGAAAATCAGTTTGAATGAGAAATCGGACTGGCTCTCCGCTACATGTATGTGATTTTACTTTAATGAATTTTTCAATGCAAGGAGCGTTTCCGATGTGCGGGATATACATGTAACGGTGGCTGTACTTTGGATGACATCTTGCCTCGGGGTAAAGATGATATTTTGTGTTTGGTTCGTGTAATCCATCATTTCATTTTGACTATTACTTACGCAGCTCAGCCATTTTTCCACATGGGAAGCTACTTACCCTTTGATTTCTTCCAGTAACTTCGATTATTTTTTTAATTTAAAATGGAACGAAAAATTTGACTGGACCTGCAACCTCAGGATTGCTGTTCGTGTGCTCTACCAACTGAGCTATCCGGCCGTATGTTGGCAGTTCCCCATTTTCTCAATGTCTTTGTTCAAGGGGCGCTAGTCAGAAGCCATAAACCCATGCCATGTAGCCAGGGAGCACACCCTAAGTCACGATGCTAGCAACATTAGCAAACTTGCAAATCTGTGGAATGGCAAACAGTTTTTGGGGAAAACAAATTCCTACTCGGGAAAACAGTTAGGAAAATAGGAAGGAGCTAATGAAATCTATGTAGGGTACATTGTAGCTGAAACTTTCAATGTTTTGATGACATACCGGTATCAGCCTAGGGTTCAAAACTATAGAACCTGAATAGGAGGGTTCATTCACTTTTTTGTTTCCTTTTAACATTTTCTGTTTTCCTCCATTATTGCTCACCTTTGGGTGTTCCAGACAGCGTTCACCCAATCTCTTCTCCAAACGAGACGCCTGCTTCTTGAGTTTCTCTGAGATGGCGGCCATTAGAATACCAAAGAGTGGGATACCGATCAACGCGTAGATGATGCAGAATGACTGTCCACCCGAACTAGTTGGAGAAATGTGGCCATAACCTATAAGTTACAAAAACGATAAACATTGATACAAGTTGATCATTCTCAAACCAATTAGTTCCATAACTAAGGTTCTTAATGTTTACAAATGGGTCAGTGACACATGACAGCTTTTCACAATAAGTTTCTCAACAAAGTTAACTTTTGAGTTAAAATTTAAAGTTTATTTCTGTGCCACTATGTGGGAGGGGCAAAGCTCCAAACCCGCCCTCAGTATTTATCCTCCCAGGATCCTTTTGCTTTTCATTTGATCATAAGCAAAGCAGTGAGTTGGCGGCCCAAAACTGCGGTATAAGGATGTCCTTAAGTGTCATCTTAAGACAGCCAAGATACCATTGGACAAGTGGGAAGCAACAGCACTAAATCACACAGAGTGGAGGGCTTTTATCAGGAGAGGAGCTGAGACAGTTGAACTGGCTATGCGCCAGGCATCTGTCTACTGTCTGTCTACTGTCTGTCTACTGTCAGTTCTGTAACAGGGGCTTTGTCAACAGACTTGGTCTGTCTTCACACATCCATTAAAAGCACCGTACAACTACTCCCCACTAAGTCACTTGTCATCATCAATTCATCAGTAAGAGAGAGATCAAGATCAGGATTTTATAAAAGAATTTTAACATTTGCTGCAATCCGAAAATCACAATCCGAAAATCAGTCACATCTCAAGACACTCTCTAAACAATTTTATTGTGGGTTATTTTTCTACTGAGGTGAAAAATCAGAGAAACCTGTGTAAACCCAAAACTCTTCTTCAATCTTCAGCCTTCATCCAGTTGGAATATATCAGTCTCCTGACAGGCAGAAGAAAATATTGATTTTCCATGGGTTCTTCTCATTAGAACCACACAAAATAACGAAACTAGATTACCCATCACATGTGTGTGTTTATAGTGTCACTGATGTAAACCATCAAAACATATCTACAGGGTGAGTCAAAAAAAGCAGAACCCAAACCCCCAAAAATGTTTCATATTTTACAAAAAATGAGTAGCACCAAAAATAATAATGACTGGAAAGCCAATTTCATAAGCTTCTTTCAGATGAAAAAATTACTATAATTGCTCAATTCGTACAAAGAATATCACCATTTAAACGCAATGACCCTGAAACCTGTTCCGTCCAAAAAAACAAAAGCAATTTATTGTGTATTCTGACTGTTTGGAACAACAAAGAAAATGACACAGAACACTTGTTTCAACAACTGTCAACAACTGTAGTACGTAGTACACAATATCTTTATTAACAACCCTGGTTAGACGAACAATATGATTTATAAAATCCACTTTTTTTAAAAGACAGGCCTACAAAGGATTTTGTTGAATATTTTTAACTTTTAAACTGTGGTTTTATCACTGGTGCTGTTTGAAGACAATTGTCTTGAAATCGCATTTTTGGAAGAAAGAGGTTTTAGGGTCATTGTGTTTAAAGGGCGATATTCTTTAAACGGATTGAGCAATTTCAGTAATTTTTTCATCTAAAAGTAGCTTATGAAATTGGCTTTCCAGTCATTATTATTTTTGGTGCTACCTACTTTTTTAAATATGAAATCAAATTTGTGGGGTTTGCATTCTGCTTTTTTTAGACTCACCCTGTAGTGTAAAAAATCACTGATCAATCATGTACTTGCATATTATGTAGTTTTCTTTTTTTAAGACACACTGCACATACACCCTTTTCAATGAAAGGGGTGTATGTGCAACTGAAGTTGTTTCTCTTTCATTTTTATTATAAATTTGGCTATTTGTATAATTGAGAACATTTGGTTGTGTGACAGCGAGGCACAGACCTGTATAAAAATGACCTTAAGTCCGAAGAAAGTCGTCTAACAAGTATTTACGCAGGTTAAACCAAATCAATCTCTGTGCTGATTAATGTCCGCTAACTCAGTCTGCAGCTTGTTAAACATCAGACACAACACCTACATGTACTCACTTTTTTACACTTGTGGGCCTTTTTTATCAGTTTTTTTGTTGTAACCACATGCGCATGGTGTGTTTACAACAATCAGCAGTAGAAATTCTTCAGTGCCTCTGTTCTATAAAGAGCAGAGGCACTGAACTTTTGCAATATTCGTGGTTGAAACTTAAAAAAAAAAGAAGTTTTACATCATGTTTACCTTGCCCCCTTTCTTTGGGGGGGGGGGGGGGGGGGGTGTGACACACATGGTCAAATAATTGCCATTGGAAATAAGGACACAGCCTCCAAACAGTGAAATCAAGGGAACTCTTGCATGAAGACAATATCAGAGGTGTCAGATTTCTCTGTTAATCTCCGAGGTCTCTTGCTTGCAGCAACATCAAGCTGTCCATGGAGACACTTCATCAGGCACGGATCCAAGATTTTTATAGGGGGGGGGGGCACACCACTGGGTAATTTGCTGAGAGAACTAATGCGAGCGCGAAGCCCTTTACGGTGCAGGCCCGCGGGGCCCGCTTAATGAAGGGGCCCGGGAAATTTTCAATTCTAGATGCGGTGCAATCTGAGGCGATTCCTGGTCTCTTTCCCCCTGAATTATTTGAGCAAACCTTTTTAAGATTATAAGGATTTTACAAAATATACTCTTGCTTTTACAAACTTTAAGTTATTGTGTACTTCAAAGTTCAAAACCATGTAATTTCGTCTTCATATTTTCTTGCATTTTATTTTGAAAAAAAAAAGGACGACGTGTTGGGGCATTTGCTCCGAGGACTAATGCAAGCGCGGATCTCTTACGGTGTGGGCTCCGGGGCCCACTTAACCTTAACTCCCTAGGGGGTATGCAAAATCATATTAAAATTGGAGGATTCAGGACTGTTAGGGGGGCCCGGGGATTTTTTAATTCCAGATGCTCTGTGGTGCAATCTGAGGCGATTCCTGGCCCCTTTCCCCCTAGCCCTGAGTTATTTGAGCAAAATGTTTCAAGATTATAAGGATTATTTTCATTGGTTTAAAATATACTCTTGCTTTTGCAAGCCTTTTAAGTTTCTTCTGTTCTTCAGTTGATAACCATAGATTGTTTTAGTGCATTTTATTTTTGAAAAGGAATTGTTCCTAGCTCCATGTATAGACTTAGTTTGTAAACTGTTGCAAGGATGCGTAGCAGCATCTGCCCCGAGGACTAATGAGCGCGGGGCATGAATCTCTTATGGCATGGGATTGATTCCAGATGCTCTGTGGTGCAATCTGAGGCGATTCCTGGTCCCTTTCCCCCTGAATTATTTTGAGCAAAACACCCCGAGGACTAATGCGAGCGCTGTGCACGAATCTCTTATGGCGTGGGATCCAGGGCCTGCTTCAGGGCCCCGGGAAATTTTGGATTCTAGATGCTCTGTGGTGCAATCTGAGGTGATTCCTGGCCCTTTCCCCCTCAGATATTTTTAGCAAAATGTTTTAATATTATAAGGATTTTTTCATTGGTTTAAAATATACTCTTGCTTTTACAAATGTTAAGTTTCTTCTTTACTTCAGTTGAGAACCATGTATTTTCATCTGCATATTTTCTTGCATTTTATTTTTGAAAAAGAATTGTATTGACTTAGTTTGTAATCTGTTGCAAGGATGCGTAGGGGCATCCGCGCCGCCCAGAGAACTAATGCAAGCGCGGAGCGCGAATGTCTTACAGCTTGGGATCCGGGCCCGCTATGCGTTCGTATGAATCGCATTTAATAACGGTATATGCAGGGTTACGTACATACGGGGTACATATGGTGGGATTGCGGTTTATTTCGAAGCTTGTCGAGCTTGCTGTATCATACGCCAGTACGCAATGTTTGCAGGCTGATGTTTAATATCGGCGCCGGTATTTTTGTAAGGAGGTTGCCCTCCTCCTTCCCTCCTTTTCTCTCATCTCCCCCCTTCCCCCCCTTCCCCAGTTTTGTATTTTTTGTGGACTCATTTTAATGGGGGGCACATGCCCCCCCCCACTCCCACGGCCGAATCTGTGCCTGCAGTGTGACACTGACTTGTTCTCTCATTGGCAGAAAACAGTATGAGCTGCCCCAAAAAACGAGCTGTATAAAAACGACGCTAATATCCTTCCATTTTACCCATCCAAATTTTACTTTATTTAATGACATGAACGAAAAAGTGTATATTTTGACAAAAAATATATAAATTACATGTACCATTAATGGCTAGTACCAGTATACAGACTGCCAATGAATGAATCAAGGTTTTTAACCGTTCAAAGTACCATACATGTACATACGTACCAAAATGAAGAAAAAGAGAAGAGCCACTTCTTCTTATTTAAGTGTTAACCCTCCTGCTATTTAAACAGTCACAGACAGTCAAAATACCCATGCACTTCCCCTGCTATACTTTTAACACAGGCTAGTCACCAGCAGTCAGATCATTTGTCAAGCAAATACAGTGACTAGTCAAACTCAGCCAACAGACAATGAACAGACGAAGCAGGCAAGTTGTGGGCACAGCTGACTTACATGTATCTAACAGCCAAAGCAAAGCTGTATCGAGTTACATAAACAGTCACAGCCAGTCAATCCTGCTTTATGTAGGCTGGGAATTGGTAACTACTTTGCACAGACCATATGTCTGCATAGCAGGGTTAATGATGCATGATATTTTGGAACCTTGCATAAGTGACTATTTAGCACTTGTGCAAAAATCAAGGGCAATTTGCATACATGCATGACACAGGTTGGACTTCAAAATGGCAAGTTAATTAACAACTCTAATTGTAAAAAAAAAAATCGCCAAACTATGACAAATTCACCGTTAGCGTTACTAAATATCCATAACAAAGAACATCCTTTGCAATGTCTATACTGCAATGTCTACAGGGAAACTTCACGAAAGAAACAGGATAGGACAAATTATTACACATGTACGACTGACACCATGGCAACATTGATGTCTTTCCATGCCGCACAGTTGCCATGGAAATCAGTTTGAAAATGCAATCAGCCTTGCCTCATTAACCATGGCTGAAAACACATGAAAATGCAGCAATGGTGATAGGACACACAATCAGGGTTGACTTTAGCGGTAGCCCGCTAGC